GGCCTGAACTCTGGGCCTGGGCACTGTCCCTCAGCTCTTCAGCTCAAGGCTAGTGCTCTACCACTTGAGCCACAGCGCCACTTCCAGCTTTTTCTACTTATATGGTGCTGAGGAATGAAACCCAGGGCCTCATGCATGCAAGACAAGCACTCTACCACTGAGCCACCTTCCCAGCCCTGGAAGGACTTTTAATTGAGCTATATTGGCCTCTTCTAGTCAAATTATGGACACATGATCCATACTAAACCAACTAAACTTTATTTAGGGAAGCGCTTCCCCAAATTATTTTTTTTCCTATTGTGAGGTTTGAACTCAGGGCCTGGGCACTGTCCCTGAGATTTTGCACTGAAGGCTAGTGCTCAACCACTTTGAGCTACAAATCCATTTCAGGTTTTCTGGTAATGTGCGCCTATAGCAAAATTACATCCTTATGGGAAATGTTTCATCTTATGTGGACCTTTCCATGGGAGAACTGACCACACATATCTTTTTTTTTTTTGGTTGTAGGGTTTGAACTCTGGGCCTGGGTGCTGTCCCTCAGCTCTTCAGTTCAAGGCTAGCGCTCTACCACTTGAGCCACAGTTTTCTGAGTGGTTTATTGGAGGTAAGAGTCTCATGGACTTTCCTGCCAGGGCTGGCTTTGAACCATGATCCTTAGATCTCAGCCTCTTGAGTAGCTATGATTACAGGCTTGAGCTACCAGCACCGGCCACATATATCTTTTATATTCTTATCAGTTACATATGTTATTTATAAATAATAATTGCCAGTATGAGGAGGTATTTTAAATTTTTGATTAAATAATAGTACCGGGCTGGGAAGGTGGCTCAGTGGTAGAGCGCTTGCCTTGCATGCATGAGGCCCTGGGTTCGGTTCCTCAGCACCACATAAGCAAAAAAGAAAAAAGCCAGAAGTGGCACTGTGGCTCAAGTGGTAGAGCTTTAGCCTTGAGCTGAAGAGCTGAGGGACAGCACCCAGGCCCAGAGTTCAGACCCCACGACTGGACCCCCCCCAAAAAACCCCCAAAACTATAGTACCTATAATCCTGGGAGAAAAGTCAGGCTGGAGGTATATGACTCAAGTGGTAGAGCACCAGCCTGTGAGCACATAAGCCAAGGGAACTTCATGTCCTGAGTTCAAACCCTTTTACCTGGAAAAGAAACAAAGAAACAACAACAACAAAAAAATAAACAAAAGCAATCCAAAAATATTTGGGGGCATTTGTCAGTACTCAAAAATTTCTGCCTGGAGTGGGGATGCATGCTCATCATGCCAACATTTGGGAGGGTGTGGTGGTAGGAAAGGTGAGCATTGCTTGTTGACATGGGCTAGTCCCAAGTTTACAAGCTTTGCTGTGTGAGGGAAGTCACTTAGGATACTCTTCTAAAAACAGTTTTATTGAGATATTATTTACATGCCTTCAGTGTACATAATGAACAGGTTAATTTTTTGTTTTGTTTTGAAACAAGGCTTCTCTATGTAGTCTAAGCTACCCTTGAACTCACTATGGAGCCTAAGCTGTGTACTAACTTGAGATATTCCTGATTCAGATTCCAGGCATATGTCACCACTGCCTTTAGCTCCCCCACACCCCAATACTAGGGCTTCAATTCAAGACCTCACATTCACGTGGCTGATTTGCTAGTTCTTTGCCTCTTATGTCACTCTTCTAGCTTCTCTAGCCTTTTTTTTTGTGTGTCGGTTGTGGGGCTTGAACTCTGGGTCTGGGCACGGTCCTTGAGCTCTTCAGCTCATGGTGAGAGCTCTAACACTTGAGCCACAGCGCCACTTCCGGTTTTGTGGTCGTTAATTGAAGAGCGTCACAGAGATTCCTGCGGGGGGCTGGCTCAAACCTATAATCCTCACTGTTCAGGAGGCTACAATCTGAGGATCCCAGTTCAAAGCCAGTACAGACAGGAAAAATCCCCGGGACAATGATTTCCATGTAATCGCCAAAGCCAGTAGTGGAGCTGCGGTTCAAATGGTAGAGCTCTTGCCTTGAGCAAAAAGTCTTGAGAAAAAAGCTCAGGCCCAGTGCTCAGGCACGAGTTAAAGCCTCAGGACCGGCACACACACAAAAATATTCTGCTGTCGTTGACCATAGTTGTTGGGACACTGTTAAAGATGCAGTTGGCTTTGTGTTGTGGCTACCACTTGAGCCACAGCACTACTTCTGGACTTTCCTGTGTATGTGGTGCTGAGGAATCGAACCCAGTGCTTCAGGCATGCTAGGCAAGTGCTCTACCACTGAGCCACCTTCCCAGTCCCATCTTGTTTCCTTTGACTCGGTTATTGCGTATAATTTGTAGCGGTGTTCCCTACGTCACTGATTACCTCTATCCCCGCCTCCCCACTGGGGCTGGATTTCCAACTAAAACCTCGTATTTGCTGTTGGACTTTTCTATTGCTCTAGTCTTCCTGCCAGGTCAGCGGAAAAGCGAGTCTGGGTTCTCATCCTCGGCTTTCGGCTTGTTTGGTCTGGAGCGAATTGGGGAGGGATTGGATCGCCGAGGCATCACGTGAGCCAGACGGTATGATGGCGGGCGCTGGGGAAGATGTGCGAGCGCTCTACCGGGCTGGCGTCCGAGCGGCTCTGGAGGCTTGGCCCGCTTTGCAGGTGAGCAAAACCATGGCAGGATGAAAGGTTAGAGTCTGGGACACAAGAGCTTGCCGGTCGAGACCCCTGAGACTTGGATGGGCGACGTGGGGGACTCCCGACCTTAGGCGGGTCCCTGAGCTGACATGGTGGGCTTCGAACTGTATTTTCAGATTGCGGTGGACAATGGCTTCGGGGGCGTGCACAGCCAGGAAAAGGCCGAGTGGCTTTGTGGTGCAGTGGAGGATTATTTCTTCCGCAATGGTGAGTGAGTGTGGGACGCCGCTTTCTCTCTGTGTGGCAGTGGGGGCCGGAGAGGAGGAGCTCTGGAGAGCCAGCACGTCTCTGGAACGCTTGATGGATGACCAGTTTGCTACCCGAGGGCGAGGTGGAACGAAAGCTAGTTTGGGAGTCAGGATCTCGGATCCGAGTGTCTTATAGGTTGTTCTCCTAGATCATCATGTTATTTCCCTGAAGTGGGCATTTTACCCTTATAAGATTGTTTCTTGGGTTTTGAAATGGGTACCACAGTTTCCACGCCAGCTTTGTCCAGTAGTGTTGTGTGAGTCATGTCATTTAAAAACTGCTGAGCTGGGGGTGTAGCTCAGCTGTAGAGCACTTTTCTAGCATGCTCAAGACCTTGGGTTCCATCTCCAGCACACCCAATCTTACCAAAATTAGCAGCCACTATAGTGAAAAGTAGATGGAATTAATGCTGTGTTATTCAGCTCACATTCAAAAGGTTTCAACATGTCATAAATGTAAACTTTTACATCTAATAAGATGTAGAGCCAAGTGTTGGTGGCTCAGGCTTGTAATTGTAGCTACTCAGGAGATCTGAGGATCATTGTTCAAAGCCAGCTCCTGTAGGAAAGCCTGTGAGACTTATCTCCAATAAACTACTAAGAAAAAGCCGGAGGTGACACTGTGGCTCAAGTGGTAGAACAGTAGCCTGAAGAAAAGTAATATCAGAAACATTGCTCAAGCACAGTGCCAGCCCCAGGACCGACACCCACGTGCATGTGCGCACATACACACAGATGTACAAAGATTGTTTTCAAAAAAATATAATTGCCTGATGTTAGCACATCTCAATCTGGCCTTGTCACATTTGTGTATGTATGTGAGATGCTGAGCTTGAACTCAAGAGCCTCTTACTTGCACTCTACCACTTGAACTGTGTCACAAATCCATGGACTAATATGACATTTCAAATCCTCAGTAACTATACGTGGGTATCAGGGTGGCAAAGATGGATACTATAGGCCCATTTAAGGGTTGTATTGGAACAAAGAGCCAAGCAGGGGATGGGTTAAATGCTATAGTGTTTTTTTTTTAAACAAAGTTCCCCATTTTCTAGCCTTGGATTTGGTATCCAGCAGAATCCTATCTCAAGAACATTTTACTATCAAGTGAGGGATACAAATAAATGGACAAATCCAAAGCTAAATAAGTGTTCTGAAAGAAAGGAACACATGGTTCTTGTGGCAACTTGAGGTGGAGGTGGCACCTTTTCTGGGAAGATAGTGATTGGACTCCTTCCCTTGGGATGAAAAGGAGTCAGTATGGGTGGGGAAAGCTAGGAAAGTTACACCCAGGAGGTCTGTGGTGATGGGGAGATAATGTCTAACTTTTGGAAGATGTCAAAAGGATCATTGTTCTAAGGCCATTGTGGGGTGGAGAACTGGGAGAGAGAATGAAGCTGGGTGGTAGGGAGACTTTCTACTCCAAAATGATAATATATGAAAGGCTTTCCAAGCCGTGTGTGTATGTATGCTGCTCATGGGGCTTGGCCTGGGCGCTGTCCTTGAGAGGCCAGCTAGGATTGGAGGGTTGAAATTTGCAGCTTGATTTGACAGATAAGTCTGAAAGAGTCTTTATCTCTGATTAAGCAGCAAAAATCCAGAAGGGTGTGTGTGTGGCTCAAGTGGTAGAGAGCCAGCTTTGAGCAAAAAAAAGAAAAGCCAAGCAAAAGAGCATTTGAGGCCCTGAGTCCAAGTCCCAGTACTTGCATGTGCAGTTTTTGTCTATAAAATAAGACCAAGAATAGGGCAATGGCATTTCTCATGGAAAAGAAGGTGGATTCGGGCATAGGAGAGTGCTTGGCTATAAGTAGGGAGGGAAAAAGAAGCAAGTTTCTGGTTTGAACAGTGGGATGAATTAAGTGCCTTTCATGGAATAGAGGAACAGTAGAAGATAAGATGCAGGATTGGAAGTTGGATATGGGGACCTAAGTTCTTTGTTAAATACCTGGGTATACAAGTACTCGGAGTTGGGAATAAATTTGGAGGATGTTAGATTTGAATGGTAGAGACAAGCAAGCAGGTGGGTGAACTCTTCCAGAGAAAGGGCGGGGAGAGACTTTTAACTGAGAAAAGTAGATTGTGGGCCCAGAGAGCAGGGCTTGGCCAGAATCACATAGTAGGTTTGTGTCAAAGCTATGAGAATTTTCTTATTGGAAGTATCATATCCCATTTTTTCTTACCAGTCCCATTGGCCTCTAGACTCCAGAATGAGGTGAGCCAGTTATGAAGGCTCTCCATACTTCAAAACTCCAGGCATTGTGTTGGGTGAGTCCTCATAAGAGACTTTTAAGGTCACTATTAGCCCCACTTCACAGGTGAGGAAACTAGGCTCAGAGAGAAGTAGTGTGTTGAGTGTCACATAGAGGGGAAGTCAGATGAAACAAAAGCATTTTAGTCAATAAATATAACTGTTCACTGGCCTTTGCTCATTAATGAGGTGTAGACCTATCAAAAAGGTATTAGAAAATAGCAGGTAGGATGATGAAGTTGCCAGTCTTTGACCAAAGGGTCCTATCCTTTCCTACACAGCTGACTTGGAGTTGGATGAGGTGGAAGACTTTCTTGGGGAGCTGATGACCAATGAGTTTGATACAGTTGTGGAGGATGGGAGTCTGCCCCAGGTGAGTTAATTGTGGACACAGCAGCCATCTCCCTTCCTGCAGTCTTCTCCTAACTGTTTGCTTTGCTTCCAGAACCTTGGCTTAAACCATTCTTTCCTTGGGTCATATACCAGGCCATTCTAAGATTCCGCCCCCCCTTTTTTGCCAGTCCTGGGGCTTGAACTCAAGGCCTGAGCACTGTCCCTGAGCTTCTTTTGCTCAAGGCTAGCACTCTACCACTTGAACCACAGCACCACTTCCAGCCTTTTCTGCTTATGTGGTACTGAGGAATTAAACCCAGGACTTCATGCATGTTAGACTCTTACCACTAAGCTACATCCACAGCCCATAAGCATTCCTTTTGCCTAAAGGAAAAGGTGTTTAGTCTTCCAGGCCTTTCCAAACCTTCCCTTTCTCCATATGTCATTCCCAGCCAGATCTGTTCCTCATCCTCATCCCAAGGGCAGGTTGGGTCACGTTGATTCCCCTCCTCTTCCAGTTAGCATTACATGTCCGGTGAGATTGTCTTTCCTTCTGCATTTACTGTCTTTCAAAAAGCTCATGTTGCATACCTGTAATCCTAGCTACTCAGGACACTGATCTGAGGATTGAGGTTCGAAGCCAGCTAGGGCAGGAAAGACTGCAAGACTCATATCTCTCATTCACTACCCAAACATCTGGAAATGGAGCTGTGGCCTTGAGTACAAAAGCTCAGGGACAGACAGCACCTAGATCCTGAATTCAAGCCCCAGGACCAGCACACACAACAAAATCAAGCTTATGTCTTGTGTCTTTTCTGCTACAATAGCCTCCTTCACTGCTTCACCTGAGCCTTTCAGATGAGGCTGCCTCACTGGTGGACTTCTTAGAGAAGGACAGTTCCAACCCACTCCCTCCCTCTGAGCTGGTTGTATAGTAAGATACTTTGAAAAATCCAAACTGGTTGAATGTTTTCTTGACAGGTGAGCCAGCAGCTGCAGACCATGTTTCAGCACTTCCAGAGAGGTGATGGAGCTGCCCTGAAGGAGATGACCTCTCACATCACCCAAAAGAAGCTTAAAGTCACAGCCACTGCACTTAAGACTGGCAAACAGGCTGAGGAGGCAGAAGCGGACACAGTGGAAGAAATGGAGGTGAAGAGGTACCCCTTGGGTGGTGAGGGTACAGATGCTTTCCATTTTGTGGGAGAACACAGAAGTGATGTTTGTTGCTTATTGGTGGTGATGGTGATGATGGTGATGATATTCTCCAGAGAGAGAGAGGTCACACAGACATATCCTGGCAATGTTGGGTGAGCTTAGGTCTCCAATGGTTAATGATGCATATAGCATTATCTCATATTTTTCCTCCAGGTCACAGCTGTGAATAATGGGGCTACTACTGAGAGGGTGTGTCCCCAGGCTGAGCCCTCTGAATCGAATTTCCAGACTATTAAGGAAGAGGATATAGTGGAAGATGGCTGGACCATTGTACGGAGAAAGAAATGAGTGGATCTGGAAATGGTTTTTGAGTCTTTGTTTCTTAGGTGTTTGGAGACTTCTGTAGGGTTGTTGTTGTTGTTTTGAGGTCTATAGACCTCTGGACTGTTTGTTCACCCTGTCCTCACCTTCTTCCCTGATCCTCTGTCCAGCTCCTTCCAGGGGAAAAAAGCCCTAGAGTCCTTGGTTGAGAGGGTGATGGGACCTACTTTACCATAACCCTTAAGCCTTAAGGTACCAAGTGAATGATTAGGCTGGTTGTCCAGCACAGTGCCTCTTGGGTTTAATCAGTGTGAAGAGGGTGGGGGGGGATGAGTGTGGGTGTGGTTGAAGAAGGGGTTAGACTCTGGTGGACAGTGAGCAGTTTAATTTGTGGAGAGGACCAGCATTCAGCTTTAGGGGGCTGGCTGCTCAGTAATGGTGAGATGAACATGGAGACCAAAGACAGAGAGGGGGTGGGGGAGAGAGAGATGTTGAGGATATATAGGAAAGTGGCTTGTTGGTGCCTCTCCCCTGTCCCTCTAACTCCTCACAGAGCAAGTCCTCTCCCCACCCAAACTTGAGACCTCCCAGAAATGTTCTGCTCTCTTCTTTCATTCATTCCAGCTTTCCCATGGAATTCCTTCAAATTCTAAGCCCAGCTAGGTGGTGAGGTTGGGAGAATTGGGATGTTTTCTGTCTCTTCCAACCTCTTCCTTCACTTCCCTCCCATCCTGTTAAAAGTCCAGGGATGAAGCTTCAGAACTTAATAAAGAATAGCTTCATTCATTGTTTAATCTGTGGGTTGACCTGTGTGAGCCATGGTATCAGGCAGACTTGTGGGAGCTGAGCTTCAAAGTTCAGCCACAGAGAGGTTTCTGGGCTTACCCTCATAGCCTGGTTACTTTGAACAGACAGACATAGATGAATGGACTATAACCGTGCTCTGAAAGTTACTGTAAGCCTGAAATAAACTGTATTTTTCTTTAAAAAACAAAACAAAGAGTATCCATTGTCCTCCCCCCACCCCTGTTCCCCTGTCCTGCCCAGTGGCCCTGCCATGGGTCTGGACGTTAAAATCCTGGGTAGCCTTGGGGCCAGGAAGCTATAAGCTGTGGAAGAGGCAGGAGGGGGTTTAGTCACCATCCCACGTGGAGTCAAAAATGTGAAGACACTGGCTGAAGAGGTGGGAGTGGGTCGGGCCCCAGGGTTTGTGGCAGAGCTGGCACTTGAATTCATGTTTCCTGCCTCTGGTGCTTTTGTTTGGGGGGGGGGATTGGGTGGAGGCAAGATTTTTGGGGTGTTTGGGATGGGGTGTAAATAATTGAATTCAGGTGGGTCTAGCAATAGCTCCCAACCTCCCTGGGGACAGGGATTTTTTTTAAAAAATAATTAATATCACTGTAGGAATATTTGTGTTTAAAAGCCCACATTTTGTGAAAAGATGAATTTAAAAAAAAACCCAAAACCCAGCATTCGGGATTGAAAGTGCCCGTAATGGGAGTTCAAGTATTGACTGAGCTGGGAGGGGAGGGGGCTGGAGTCCCCAGTTGGACATGGGCAGCTAGAGTGTGGGGTGGGGGCTCCCAATTCCCCCCCTAAACCCTCTAGGTCTTGTCTCGGGTCTGGGGGGCTTCAGGGGACTCAGAAGTGGCTCCTGATGCAGCCACTGGTGCCTCCATCTCCCTGTCCTCAGACAGTGTGGGCCCAGGGCAGAACGTATCCCCACGGCCTGCCCGGCCCAGCACAGCCATCCAGCGCCGCTGAAGCTCCTCTGTCTCGGGACTGAAGTACCAGCTTAGGTGGCTCTGGGTTATCTTGAAGACATGCCTTCTGTCAGGCCGCTCCCCTGCCTCAGGAGGTCCCACCTCAAAGCCAATGAGGGGCAGGCTGCGCTGGGCTTTCACATCCTGAGGAGGAAGGACAGAGCTGGGGTCACCTGGGGGCTCTACTGTTTTGGTGTCTATTCCTTTTTTCCCTTGCTTAAGAACCTGCCTTGGCTTCATTGTAATCAACAGGAAAAGGAACTAGGACTTGGTTCAAATACATGTCTCCTCCCACACACCCCAAACCAGCTGGACTAGTCTCTTTAAGTAGAATGGTCTTTGACTTCTTCACCCCATCTGCATGCTCATCCTTACTCTGAATTAGACCTAGGAGTGTGAATGCCTGTTCCACTCCAGTTTTCTCCAAGCCAGACTCCCCATCCCACCTATTTGCCTTCCATGTTTTGCCTTGTCACTAGGTAGACTTTATTACCCACCCAAGGGTGGGTATTCTGGCTTTCCCTTAGAGATGGGCTCATCCCATTTGCCAAGGCCAAAGAAGAAGATAGAAATCAGGGGGGGAAAAGGGTAGCAGTGTGGCTTCACTAGGTATCCTAAAAGACTCAGAAGGAGGAGGATGCACACCTGAGGGGCTCCATAGATGTACAGCACCAAAGGTTCATTCTCAGGGACCACGAACCATGCCTTGTGCCATCCTTTCCCGCCCTTTTCCATGTAGTGCAGGAAGCTGCAGATGACGCTGTTCTCAGCAGCTACCGAGGCCTGTTTCTGGATCCAAGAAACATGGGTAAAGTCATTGGTAACAGATGGCCTAGCCTGACTCCATTCTAGTTTAAGTAGCTTCCCCCCTTCCCTAGTACATGGCTTGCTATTCCATGTCTCAGATGCAGACTGTGAAACTCAGGTGATAGAAGTTTTGACTATTGCCTCCTAGTAAGTCCAGATTCAAAGCTAGACTTCTCTGCTTGACCCAGGCCATGACTGTTTTAACCACTAGAAAACCAGAAGTGGCACTGTGGCTCAAATGCTAGAGCACTAGCCTTGAGCTGAAATGCTCAGGGACAGTGCCCAGACCTAGAGTTCAAGCCCCATGACCATTAAAAAAAGGCCAGAAGTGGAGATGTAACTCAAGTGGTAAAGTATCAGCCTTGAGTGGAAAAGGCTAAGGGACAGTGACCAGGTAATGAGTTCAAGTCCCAGAATTGGCATACACATGCACACATGCACATGTACACACTGACAGAGAAAGATGTGCACACGCCAGCAAGGGCATCTAAAGGCCAGTCAGATAACTGGTTAATTTATTCAAGCTGTTCACACTTTCAACACCTCACCTCTTTACATCTTTCATCATACATCCATCACTCAGCAAGGGGCAATCTAGCACTGTGGTTAAGGGGGTGGATGGGTAGGTGGTAGGTAGGTAATGCAAGCTGGCTCACACTCCCAGCTCTAGATGAAAATATATTGACTTGGAAGGAGAACACAGAGGGCTGTTGTGAGGATTAAATGAGCTAACACAAGCAATGCATTTAGTATAGTTATTGGTAGAGTAAGCTATTTTTTTTGTGGGTCATGGGTCTTGAACTTTGGGCCTGGGCACTGTCCCTGAACTCTTCAGCCCAAGACTAGTGCTCTACTAGTGGCTTGAGCCACAGCGCCACTTCCCATTTTCTAGTGCTTAACTGGAGGTAAGAGTCTCAAGGATGTTCCTTCCCAGGGCTGGCTTTGACCCATGATCCTTCAGATCTCAGCCTCCTGAGTAGCTAGGATTACAGGTGTGAGCCATTAGTATCAGTGCCTGGTGAGTAAGACCTTTTAAGTGTTAAATGGCTTGATATGCTTAAAAAAACCAAAATAAATTCTTCTGGGAAGAATTTATTCTACTGATCCTAGTTTGTAATAAAGGGCAATTTGTTAATTGAACAAAAAATCCTTGAGCTGTGTCTATAAATCTCAGCTACTCAGGAGGCTGAAGGCAGAATAACTGAGGTCAGCCTAAGGAATATAGTGAAATCTCATTTCAAAAAACAAAAACTGAAGCTGGGAATGTGGCTTAGCGGTAGAGTGCTTACCTAGCATGCATGAAGCCCTGGGTTCAATTCTTTAGTACCACATAAACAGAAAAAAAAAAACCCGTCAGAAGTTGCACTGTGGCTCAAGTGGTAGAGTGCTAGCCTTGAGCAAAAGACGCTCAGAAACAGTGCCCAGGCCCTGAGTTCAAGCCCCAGGACTGGCCTAAAACAAAATAAAACAAAAACAAAACACCTGGGCACTGGTGGCTCATGCCTATAACCCCAGCTACTCAGGAAACTTGGATCTGAGGATCACAGTTTAGAGCCAGCCCTGGCAGGAAAGTCTGTGGGACCCTTACCTCTAATTAGTCACCAAAAAAGCCAAAAGTAGAGGTATGGCTCAAGTGGTAGAGCACCAACCTTAAGTTAAAAAGCTAAGGAAGTGTCCACGCCCTGAGTTCAAGCCCCAGTAACTGACAAAATAAAAACAACCACTTATTGACTGTGTCACTTGGTCAAATAACCTCCACATGCCTTAATTTCTCCATTTGTAAACTAGGGATATGAGCATGGGTAGATTACTTACTGTAAGGGTTAAAAGTGTATTTTCATGAAATGACTCTTGGACTTTTTTTTTTTGTCATGGGGCCTGAACTCTGGGTCTGGGCGCTGCCCATCAGCTCAAGGCTCAAGGCTAGCACTCTACCACTTGAGCCACAGTGCCACTTCTGGCTTTTTCTGCTTATGTGGTGCTGAGGAATCGAACCCAGGGCCTCATGCATGCAAGGCAAGTGCTCTACCACTGAGCCACCTTCCTAGACCCTTTACTCCCTTTTTTTTTGACAGTCTTGGGGCCTGAACTCTGGGCCTGGGTCCTGTCCTTGGGCTTTTATGCTCAAGGCTAGAGATCTACCACTTGAGCCACAGCTCCACTTCTGGCCTTTTGTAATTAATTGGAGATAAGAGTCTCACAGACTTTTCTGCCTGGGCTGGCTGTGAACTGCAATTATCAGATGTCAGCCTCCTGAGTAGCTAGGATTACAGGTATGAGCCATCAGCACCTGGCTGGATATACTCTTGTACTGGTTTTGCTCGGTCCATGCCTGGGTTACTTGATCAGCCAGTGCACATGGCACCCTATATTTCAGAGAGTCCAGATCTCCTCAGATCACATTGGATAGGGGCTTGGCTCTTACCTCCAGGATAGACCTCCTGCGCTGGGGTGTATGTTGGTTGCAGGCTGGACTGCTCCCGGGCACCCCATGCAAGGCCACATAGCAATCAGTGCACACACGATTGGAGCGGTTATTGTCATAGATGAGGCGGGCCCGGAACTCAGAGCACTTCCCACAAACCACCTGGGGTGGCAAGTGGAAAAGAACAGTTGGATTCTGGCAGGCCTTTCCCTTTAGTGTAGCAAGTACCACGGCAGATTTGCACCTATTCCTCCCCCCTTGGAGGGTATCCATTTCAGAAATGGGTTTTTGGGTTGCCCCTGCCTCCCAATACTCACATGCCCACAAGCCTTGCAGTGGTGCCTGCGTTTGGTGATGGAGTTGAAAGGCTCCTGGCAGCGCATGCACATGGTGACTTCCTTTTCCCGGATGGGCGTGGGTGCTCTCTTCCCAAGGTCCACGTTCTAGGGAAAGGCCAGGATCCAGGTCAAAGACAACTGTTCTTCTGCTCAGTTCTACCAACCCTTGTTCATTTCCCAAGACTTGGATCATTATGGAGGATGGGGGCAGGAGACACATGGAGAATACCTGCCCTTTTCTTTTTTTGTGTTTGCTTGAACTCAGGGCCTGGGCACTATCCTTGAGCTTCTTTTGCTCAAGACTCTACAACTTGAGCCACAGCTTTCACTTCCAGCTTTTTTTGGGGGGTGAGGGGAGGTAAGAGATAAGAGTCTCATGGACTTTTCTTGCCTGGGATGGCTTCAAACTGTGATTCTTGGATCTCAGCCTCCTAAGTAGCAAGGATTACCTGTAGCTTTGAGCCTGGACTGGTTCCTACCTCATTGTGCCATCCAAGGTCACTTTACTCTCTGGGCCTGTTCCCCCCATGGTTTCTCTGCAGTCCTATGAACAAAAAACTGCTCCTCTGAGGTCATGCATTGTCTGTCTAGTCTCTACTTCCTAAGAATGAGAGGATCATGGCAAGGAAAGGTGGGAATTTGGAGGCTGGAAAGGGATTCCCAGTGCTGAGGGAGATAGAGGTGAGGTGTGGGGGCATGGAGGGAGGACTCTTACTGGTGAGTTGGGTGGGGTATCTTCATCTTCCCTGTTTGTTGAGTTCAACAGTTTGAAGGTCTCCAGGGTCTGTTCATGCTTTAAGAGGGTGGAGTTGATGGCCTATCGGGGAGGGGTAAGAAATGAGAGGTCAGATCACTCCACAAGCCACCTATCTTCACCCTCAGCTCACCTTCCTATGCCTTAGTCTGGAGTAAGGAAAATTTACGTTCTAGGCTCAGCTGTGTCCATGCCAGACATATCATCTTGAGCAAACCCCTCCCATATTCCAGGTAATTAGAAAAATGAGGGTGGAAAGCCAGGGGGTAGGGTTGGGGGAAGAGCTGTTACTGGAAAAACCTTAGCTGGCCTTCCTAGTCTCTGCCTGAGCTTAAGGCTTCACAGGTTTTGACCCACTCTGAGAAACCAACATCCTGAATTTGTGAATTTCTGTTTTGCCACTGGACTTCAGTTTGCTTAGCTATAAAATGGGGATGGCAAAGTCTGTTGGAAGGGAGGTCTGTAGGCCCATTCTGTTAGATAGGAATTTTGGGGGGAAGAGTCTATGTCCCCTAAGAGACCTGTTAATACTCTTTCAGCCCCCTCCCACCAAGCCTTCTTGGATGTTACCTGGACCCAATCTTTCTTCTCCTCCTCAGTCCTTGTGGGGAAGAAAGAAAAATGCTGAGTTAGGCAGGTCAATAAAAAAATTAAATTAAAAAAAACCTGGAAGCCGGGCACTATTGGCTAACATCTATAATCCTAGCTACTAAGGAAGCTGAGATCTGAAGATCAAAGTTTGAAGCCAGCCTAAGTAGAAAAGTCTGGGAGACTTATCTATAATTAACCACCGAAATGTCAGAAATAGAACTGTAGGGGTAGGGCAGGAGTCTTGAGCTTAAAAGCTAAGGGACAAACTGGGCACCGATGGCTCACACCTGTAATCCTAGCTACTCAGGAGGCTGAGATACGAGGATCACAATTTGTAGCCAGTCCAGGTAGGAAAGTCCTTAAGACCCTTATCTCCAATTCAGCATCAAAATAAAAGCTGGAAATAGAGCTATGGTTCAAGTGGTAGAGGTAGAGCACTACTTTTGAGCCAAAAAAACTCAAGGACAGTCCCTAGGCCCTGAATTCAAGCCACAGGACTGGTGCATGTGTGTACGCATGCACGTGCACTCACACACACACACACACACACACGCACTGGCAATGACTATTACTTTCTGGATCATTCTGAGCATCACTGAGAACGTGTAAAGCCCAGCCTAGCAGAATGTGTTATATTAGACAATCACTGTGACTCCCTCCACTCTGTGTCTCTTTTTTGTGCCTGTACTGGGACTTGACCTCAGGGCCTTGTTCTTTTTTTTTTTTTGGGTCTGGTCGTGGGGCCTGAACTCTGGGCCTGGGCACTGTCCCTCAGCTCTTCAGCTCAAGGCTAGTGCTCTACCACTTGAGCCACAGCACCACTTCTGGCTTTTTTCTTTTTGCTTCTGTGGTGCTGAGGAATCGAACCCAGGGCCTCTTGCATGCAAGGCAAGCGCTCTACCACGGAGCCACCTTCCCAGCCCCAGGGCGTTGTTCTTTTCTCTTAGCTTTTTCCCTCACAGTCCTTCCCTTCTGGTTTTCTTGCCTCCCCAAGGCCTGTGCCTCAGTGAGTCCTCCTCAACCACTCACTCTGCTGCCTCCCATCTTCTAATTTCCTTCCACATTCATACTCTAGGCATCTAAAGTATTTTTTCTAGCTGAGTGTGATGTAATCCCAGCTACTGTGGAGGCAGAGACACGAGGAGGCAAGCTTGAATGAAATTATTGAGACCCACTCCTTTCTTCCTTCCTTCTTTCCTTCCTTCCTTCATTTCTTCTTTCTTTCTTTTTTTTGTCTGTCATGGGGCATGAACTCTGGATCTGGATGCTGTCCTTCAGCTCTTCAGCTCAACGCAAGCACTCTACCACTTGAGCCACAGCACCACTTCCGGCTTTTTCTGTTTATGTGGTGCTGAGGAATCAAACCCAGGGCCTCAGGTATGCAAGGCAAGCACTCTACCACTGAGCCACCTTCCCAGCCCATTGAGACCCTATATTAAAAGCAAACAGACTATTAAGTGGAATAGCTCTTGTCTAAAAAGTTCAAAGCATAGGGTTCATCATGTGTGTTCATTATGGGGCTTGAACGTAGGGCCTATGTGCTATCCTTAAGCTTTTGTGCTCCAGGCTACTGCTCTACCACTTGAGCCACAACTCCACTTCTGGCTTTTTGGTGGTTAACTGGAGATAAAAGTTTCATGTATTACCCAGGGTGGCTTCAAACTGCAATCCTCAGATCTTAGCATCCTGAGTAGTTAGAATTACAGGTGTGAGCTGCTGGTGCCTGGCAAAAATGTATTTTTCTAATATGAAAACCTGATTATAACCTTAAAACCACTTCATGAAAAAGTAAAGCTGTTGCTCAGAAGTTAGCTTTAGGAATGTTTGTTGCCAGCTGGGCACCGGTGGCTCACACCTGTAATCCTAGCTACTCAGGAGGCTGAGATCTGAGGATCACTATTTCAAAGCCAGCCTGGGCAGGAAACTCCATGAGATTCTTATCTCCAATTAACCACCAGAAAACTGGAAGTGGCACTGTGGCTCAAGTGGTAGAGCATTCTTCTTGAACTGAAAAGCCCAGGGACAGAGCCCAGAGTTCAAGCCCCACGACCGACACACACACACACACACACACACACACACACACACACACACAACACACACACACACACACGTTTGTTGTGGGCGAATGATATAGCTCAGTGGTAGAACACTTGCCTAGTGTGTTTGAGGCTCTAGGTCCAAATCCTATATGCATGCTCATGTGTACACACATACACACACACAGAGAAAAAAATATAAATATTTACTATAATGCCTTTGTTGGTGATACTGGGGTTTGAACTCACAGCCTCACATTTCTAGGCAGGTGCCCCAACATTGGAGCCTCTTGTCAGACCCCTTTTGCATTATTTTTGAGATAGGATCTCCTTTTGCTTGGGATGGCCTAGACAATGATCTTCCTATGTGTACCCCTTAGCATTTCTAGTATGACAGATGTGTGCCACTGCACCTAATCAATGGTTGAGATGGAGTCTCAAACATTTTTGTGTGTGTTTGTCTGGCAAGGTCAAGACTCAAACTGCGACTTCCCTATCTCTACCTCCCAAGTGGCTAGAATTACAGGCTTGAACAACCACACCTGGCACAGTGTTTTTTTACTATAGTAAAAAATTGGAAGCAGAGCTGAGAGGGAGGTGAAAAAAATATGTCATTACTACAAGAGAATTTTAATGATGTGTAGAATGTTTATTATAAGAAGCAAAAAGAACATATAAAGGCAGGGCAACTGTAGCTCACACCTGTAATCCTAGCTATTCAGAAGGCTGAGATTTGAGAGTCATGGTTCAATGTCAGCTGGGGCAGGAAAGTCTTTGAGACATTTATCTCCAATAAACAACTCAGAAAAATCCCAAAGTGGCGTTGTGGCTCAAACTGTATGTGGTACTGAGAAATCGAACCCGGGGCTTCATGCATGCTAGGCAATCACTCTACCACTAAGCCTCATTCCCAGCCCCTTGAAATTATTTTAAGAAGAATGGAGCCGGGGGTTGGGAAGGTGGCTCAGTGGTAGAGCACTTGCCTTGCATGCCTGAGGCCCTGGGTTCGATTCCTCAGCACCACATAAGCAAAAAGAAAAAAAGCCAAAAGTGGCACTGTGGTTCAAGTGGTAGCTTGCTAGCCTTGAGCTGACCCCCCCACACACAAAAAAAAAGAAGAGTGGAGCCGGGCGCTGGTGACTACGCTTATTCTTAGCTATTCAGGAGGCTGAGATCTGAGGATCGAAGTTCAAAGGTAGCCCGAGCAGGAAAGTCAGTGTAAAATTAACCAAGAGAAAACCGGAAGTGGCGCTGTGGCTCAAGTGGTAGAGCACTGGCCTTGAGCGAAGAGCTGAGGGATAGTACCCAGGCCCAGACCCAGGTTCGAGCCCCATGACCACAAAAAAAGAAGGGAGGGGCTAGGAAGGTGGCTCAGTGGTAGAGTGCTTGCCTCGTATGCATGAGGCCCTGGGTTCGATTCCTCAGCACCACATAAGCAGAAAAAGCTGGAAGTGGCACTGTGGCACTGTGGATCAAGTGGTTGCCTTGAGCTGAAGAGCCTAGGGAGAGTGCCCAGGCCCAGAGTTCAGGCCCCACGACTCACAAAAGGGAGAGTGGGGCTGAGAATGTGGCTTAGTGGTAGAGTGCTTGCCCGGCATGCATGAAGCCCTAGGTTCAATTCCTCAGTACCACATACATAGAAAAAGCCATAAGTGGTACTGTGGCTCAAGTGGTAGATTGCTAGCCTTAAGCAAAAGAAGCTCAGGGCAGGTTGGGTAGGTGGCTCAGTGGTAGAGTGCTTGCCTTGCATGCATGAGGCCCTGGGTTCGATTCCTCAGCACCACATAAGCAAAAAGAAAAAAGCCGGAAGTGGTGCTGTGGCTCAGGTGGTAGAGTGCTAGCCTTGAGCTGAAGAGCTGAGGGACAGCGCCCAGGCTCAGGCCCCACGACCGGACCCCCAAAAAAAAAAAAAGGTGGCTCAGGGACAATGAGTAGGCCCTGAGTTCAAGCCCCAGGACTGGCAAAACAAAACAAAAACAATTTCAACAGGTTTCACTAATCTGTTTTCACACAGGCAAATAAAGTATTTTGACCATATGCACCCTCATTCACCCTCTTCATTAGCCATTCCCCCTCCTGTTATTATCCATTCTCTCTGTAGATCCTGTTTTACTTGTTATTTATTTTTCCTACTATGTATTAATTGTACCAAGGGGTTTCACCATGACATTTTAGACATGCATATACTTTGATCAGAATAACTTTCTCCATTGCTTTCCCTTTCCCTGCCCTGCAACCCCACTGATCCACAGCTTTTCAGCTTTTCATTGAGATCTAGGTGGTCTGCGTTCACAGCTGCAATGTATTTCAGAATTATTCACCCTCCATCTTTCTTTTTTTTGTCAGTCTCATGTGGTCTGGGGGCCAATGGCTCATGCCCATAATCCTAGCTACTCGGGAGACTGAGATATGAGGATCATGGTTTGAAGCCAGCCTGGGCAGGAAAGTCCATGAGACTCTTATCTCCAACTAACCACCAGAAAACTGTAAGTGGTACTCTGGCTAAAAGTGATAAGAGTGCTAGCCTTGAGCAAAAGAGTTCAGGACAATGCCGAGGCCCTGAGTTCAAGCCTTACAACTGACCAAAAAAAAAGTCTTGGGGCTGGGAAAGTGGCTCAGTGGTAGAGCGCTTGCCTTGCATGTATGAGGCCCTGGGTTCGATTCCTCAGCACCACATAAGCAAAAAGAAAAATGCTGGAAGTGGCACTGTGGCTCAAGTGGCAGAGCGCTAAGGGACAGTGCCCAGGCCCAGAGTTCAGGCCACATGACCATACCCCCACCCCCCCCAAAAAAAGTCTCACAGGATTTGGACTTTCCTGCCTGGATGGTTTTGAACCTCAATTCTCAGATCTCAGGTTCCTGAGTAGTTAGGATTACAGGGATGAGCCACCAGTGCCCAGCTAACCAGTAGTTTATATGTGTATTTTCTGTGCCCATACTGGAGCTTGAACTCAGGACCTTGCAATTGAATTGGCTTTTTTACTCAAGGCTGTCATTCTGCCACTTAAGCTACACCTCTACTTGCGGTAATTTACTTTTGAGATTGTTCAGCAAAGGACATATATGGCAGGCTACATGTGATGTCATATGCCTGTAGTCCCAGTTTCTTGGGAGGCTGAAACAAGAAGCTCAGGCATTCAAGGCCAGCCTAGGAATCCCAACAAAAATGTAAAACTGAAAAGAAATCTGATAGAATGCTTGTAGCTGACAGTTTCTTTTGCGTGATGCTGGGAGCAGAACCCAGGGCCTTGTGCATGTTAGGTAAATGCTCTATCACTGAGCTATACCTCCCACATACCCAGATGCAACTATTGACTTTTAAATAATTGGCTCTAAACCCTGGTTCACACATTAAAATTACCTGAGGATGGGGCTGGGAAGGTGGCTCAGTGGTAGAGCGCTTGCCTTGCATGCATGAGGCCCTGGGTTCGATTCCTCAGCACCACATAAGCAGAAAAAAAAGGCGGAAGTGGTGCTGTGGCTCAAGTGGTAGAGTGCTAGCCTTCAGCTGAAGAGCTGAGGGACAGCACGTGGGCCCAGAGTTCAGGCCCCATGACCGGACCCCCCCCCCCCAAAAATCTACCTGAGGAGCTTTAAAAGCTCTCCACATTGAGGCTGTGTCCTAGACCATTTAAATCAGATTCTTTGGGGATAGAATTGGGGGCATCAGTTATTTTTAGAAGTTCTGAGATTATTTCTGGGATTGCATGATTGAGAACTGGTTGTCTAAGTTGTGGGAATATGGGTGCTTATTGCATCACTTTGCTGGGTATTTAAAATTTTCCATTAAAAACTATTTTGGGGGGAACCAGTCCTGAGGCTTGAACTCATGGCTTTGTTGCTGTCCTTGAACTTTTCTGCTCTACCACTTGAGCCATAATTCTATTTGTAGCTTTTAGGTGGTTAATTGGAGATAAAGAATCTCACAGACTTTCTTGCTGGAGCTGGCTTCAAACTGTGATCCTCAGATCTCAGCCTGCTTGAATAGTTAGGATTATAGGTATAAGCCAGAGTGCCTGGCTTAAAAACAATTCTTTTTTTTTTTTTTGCAGCCAGCCCAAAAGTTAATTAAGTTTATTAAAATCACATAGAAGGTTTAACAAAGTGCACAACAGAATGACACCACTGGTTTGTTATAAATCACAGTGAATTAGTAGAATCCAACAATGTGATTTCTTTAAGAAGAGGATTGTAGGACAGGGTTAATATTGTAAAGACAGGATCCCTTTTCAATAGGTGAAGCCAGTCAGCCTGTAATCCCCAGCTATGTGCCTCCAGACTGCTTGAGAAAGCTGAGCCTTTTCCTCACATGTTCTTCTCTGACATTACTAAGCAACTTAAAACACAATTCTTAAGGGCAGTAAAAGTGATTGCAAAGCAAAACTCTTTGTTCCTTCCTTGGGCCACTAGGCAGAAACCTTACACTTCTTGGTGACCCAGCATCCCTCTATCATCCCCTCTTTTGCAGACAATGTGCTTTTTTTGCCAGTCCTGAGGCTATAGGCTTGGACTCTGGGCCTCTTTATGCTCAAGGCTAGTGCTCTACCACCTGAGCCACAGTGCTATTTCTGGTTTTCTGATGGTTACTTAGAAGAGTCTCATGGACTTTCCTGCCCAAGCTGGCTGCAAACCGTGATCCTCAGATCTCAGCCTCCTGAGTAGTTAGGATTACAAGTGTGAGCCTGTAATCCTGGCTATATTTTTCATGTCTTTACTCTTCAGTCATTTTTTACTTCAGTTTTTTTTCAGTACTGAGGTTTGAACTTAGGGATATTGCTTGTTTTTTTTTTTCACTCAAGGATGGCACTGTACTACTTGAGCCACACCTCAACTTCCAGCTTTTTGATGGCTAAATGGAAAGTCTCATGGACTTTCTGGCCCAGGCTGCCTTTGAACTGTGATCCTCAAATCTCAGCCTCCTGAGCAGTTAGGATTATAGTTGTGAGCCACTGGTGCCTGGCCAGCAAATGTTTTAGGGTTGTTTGTCCCACACCAGGCTCCTACCATGGACCAAGCATTGCATTTGGTTATTTCTGGTTATTTTAGATATTTCTCTAAAGTCAGTGAATCTACAATATACTGGTTGCGATGTTGTTATTCACGATAGGATTACCATACTACCGTCCTCTAACATAGCCCACCAGAAGAAATGTTCATTTCAATCAGAGAGAGCTTATTCAATCTACTAAAGGCTCCCCTGGCAGGAATGCTGCATCTTCTTCATGCTTGGAGTACTCACCCTAAATCCATATGGTGGCTAGCCCTCAGAGATCAACCCCATTGCTGAAGAACATGCCTGCATCTTGGGGGAAAGGTGTCTGGAATGCTTCAGCATATCTGAAGGAAAGAGGGGTTCGGAGGGAAGTCATAGGCAAGGATAGGTACCTGGCCTGGAGCTCCAGGGAGCGCTGCTTTCCTGATACCAGGAAGGTCCGAGGAAGGTTGAAGTTGGAGCTTTCCTTTAGCTGGATAGATGGAAAAAGGGTTATGGTGAGGCTTACTGAGCTCCCCAGGGCCCTAGCATTCTGCAGCATGCACTCTGGGTTCTCATTTCCCACCTCCTGGTGCTTACCTCCATGCCATCTACATCGATGCGTGCCCGCACGCTAAACTTCTGGCCAAGCAGCCGCAGCCTGGGCACGCAGTAAAGGAGGCGGTCATTGAACTAGAAAGGAAAAGATTGATATGTATGTGTATGTATGTATATGTGTGTGTGTGTGTGTGTGTGTGTGTGTATATATATATATATATATATATATATATATATATGATGACCTTGGGCAAGTTCCTTCTCTCTAAATCTGAGTTATATCATCTGTGAAGAAGAGGAAAGAAAGCCAGTCATTGGTGGCTCATGCCTGTAATTCTAGCTACTCAGGAGGCTGAAATTTGAGGGTCATGGTTTGAAATTAGTCTGGGAAGGAAAGTCTGTGACACTCATCTCCAATTAACCACCAGAAATCCAGAAGTGGAGCTGTGGCTCAGAGTGGTAGAGAGCTACCCTTGCGCAAAAAATTCAGGGATAGTGCTCAGGCCCTGAGTTCAAGGCCTATGACTGACAAAAGAAAAAAAGAAAAAGAAGAGGAAAGAAAAGCCAGGTCCTGGTGGCTCACAACTGTAATCCTAGATACTTGGAGGACTGAGATCTGAGGATAGTGGTTTAAAACCAGCCCTGGGCTGGGAATGTGGCTTAGTGGTAGAGTGCTTGCCTAGCATGCATAAAGCCCTGGGTTCAATTCCTCAGTACCATATAAACAGAAAAGGCTAGAAGTGGCGTTGTGGCTCAATGGTATATGCTAGCCTTGAGCAAAAGAAGCTCAGGGACAATGCCCAGACCCTGAGTGAACAGCTGACACTAAGCAAAAGGAAAGAAATGTACCTATCACCCAATTTAGTAGAAATAGTTCTATTGTTAAAGTTCGTAGAGTTGTGCTCGCTTTGGCAGCACATATACTAAAATTGGAACGATACAGAGAAGATGAGCATGGTCCCTGTGCAAGGATGACACGCACATTCGTGAAGCGTTCCACATTTTTAACAAAGAAGGAGGCAACAATGCTTGATAAGAAATGTACTCATTGCCGGGCGCTGGTGGCTCACGCCTGTAATGGATCACGGTTGAAAGCCAGCCCGGGCAGGAGAGACCGTGAGACTCCTATCTCCAATAAACCACCAGAAAACCAGAAGTGGTGCTGTAGCTCAAGTGGTAGAGCGCTCGCCTTGAGCTGAAGAGCTGAGGGACAGCGCCCAGGCCCAGAGTTCAAGCCCCACGACTGACAAAAAAAAAAAAAAAGAAAGAAATGTACTCATTATCTTGCCCATGTAACTGTAACCCCTCTGTACGGTATTTTCACAATTAAAAAGAAAAAAAGTTCATAAAGTTCATAAGCATTATCTTAAGATAATGAGGATTATAATAGTGAAGGTTAAAAGGTGTTTGTGACTTTAGCTAAGTATAACTATACCACACTACTGTGAAATTTATCTAATCATTTAATCTCAATAAAGAAATATTTGGAGGAATAAAAAAAAAAACAGCCCTGGCAGAAAAGTCCATGAGATTCATCTCCAATCAACCAGCAAAAAGCCAGAAGTAGAAGTATGATTCAATGGTAGAGTGCCAGCCTTGAACAAAACCAAAAACAAGCAAAAGCACAAGGCCCCTAGTGTAGGCCCCAATAAAGGCCCCCCCCGAAAAAAGAGAACAAATCCCAACATAAGTGTTTTCGTTAAAACACAATGAATGACTGCAATAAACTGGAGATGGCAGAACCAAGCATCAGTGGCTCATGTCTGTAATTCTAGCTATTCAGGAGGCCCAGATCTGAGGATCATGGTTTGAAGCCAGCCCAAGCAGAAAAATCCATGAGATTCTTATCTCCAACTAACCAGCAGAAAGCTTGAAGTGAAGCTGTGGCTCAAGTGTCAGAGTGCCAGCTTTGAGCTAAGGGATAGCATCCAAGCCCTGAATTCAAGCTTGAGTATTGGCACAAAACAAAACAGAGCTGGGATTTGAGGATTTAGCTCAGTGGAAGAGCAAGTACAAGGCCCCAAGTTCAGTCCTCAGCTCTAGAAAAAACCATCAACAATAGAGATAGGAGGTGGCACAGCCTTGAGTGAGCACCAGGTTCATCTGTATAGAGGAAGAAAGGGAATATCCACTCCCACCACCGACTCCACAGCTGACACTTACTAGTATGAGGTATCGGTCTTGAGTGGTCCCATTCTTTGCTGAGAGCTTCAGGATGTGGCCTTCTTTTATGAGCTCTTTGGTTGGGCTGACAATGTCCTCCTCACCTCCTAGCAGCTCATATACCTTCAGCAGCTTATGCATTCGCTCCTGGAAGAAGACAGCAGGGCTTGGGGTGTCAATTGCCCCCTGGATATCTTCAAGGCATAAGCCCATCCCCAATCCCAGGACAGAGATACCAAAGACACGTGGCCAAGGATGGGCAAGTGCTAGGAGAACCACTCACCATCTTGCGAATGGCAGCATTAGAGTGCTCTGCCGCTGTGGCTATCAGCTCCAGAGACTCTATGGGGAACAAAGAGGCAAGATCAGATGGGAGATTAGCAGAGAGGAAGCTCTGGGAGCTTCTTTCCCCCATGGATAGCATCTCCTGTCCTGTCCACAATCTCCTCATACCAGAATGTTCAGCCTAAAGGCGTCCACAGCACTGGGCATGATGCCTCCAGTCTGTAATCCTAGCTAGTTGGAGGCAGAGTTTAGGAGATTGTGGTTTGAGGCTAGCCTAAGCCAAAAATAAAATCCAGAGACCCCATCTCAACTAATGGCTCAGAGCAGAGTTGCACTCCTAGCTACAAGGTAAGTACAATAGTTAGATGCAGTGCTACATAGGCAGCTTTGCTCTCTGGCAATAAGGAGAGGATAAGCCCAATTAGGAGGACTGCAGCCCAGGGCAGTCTAAGGAGTGAGACTCTACCTCAAAAATAACCAACACAATAAGGGGCTGGAAGTGTGGATCAAGTGATTGAACATGTGCCTAGCAAGTATGAAGTCCTGAGTTCAATCCTCAGTATCACACACACAAAAATAAATCCATAGCAACATCATTTGAAATCAGAAACAGTCTCAGCTGATGCCACAGTAGCAGAATCACAGTATATAGGTTAGCTGGCAGCCAACAAAATGGAAGCTTGGTAAATTACTATTACCATTAGTAGTAGCAACAATAACATTTACATATGTAAATATGAGGAAACATCCATGTGCAGGAAGCTGTCTCTGGATGGTGGGACTATGTGTGGTTTTCATTGTCCTCTTTAGAGGGTTGGGTTTTTTTTTTTGTATTACTCATTTTTGGAACACAATGTAGCTATAGTGCTCTTGCTGATTTCAGACTCCTGAGCTCAAGGAATGTTTCTGTCTCAGACTTGCATAGCTGGGTCTACAGGCTCACACTACAATATCTAGCTTTCTCCCACATTTTTTTTCACTCATGGTCTTTGGAGAGCTTTTATTATTTTTTTTTCTTTGGTCGGTCATGGGACTTGAACTCTGGGCCTGGGCGCTGTCCCTCAGCTCTTCAGCTCAAGGTGAATGCTCTACCTCTTGAGCTACAGCACCACTTCCAGTTTTCTAGTGGTTTATTGGAGATAGGAGTCTCAAGGTCTTTCCTGCCTGGGCTGGTTTTGAACCTTAATCCTCAGATCTCAGCCTCCTGAGTAGCTAGGATTACAGGCATGAGCCCCCGGCGCCCAGGAGAGCTTTTATTATTAAGGTATGAGTATCCTCTTTCAAGTTAGTTTCACTACCAGTAATGTACACATTCATCTGCATTAAGAGAAGTTTGGTTATTCCCACATTTTTTTGTGCCAGTCCTTGGGTTTGAACTCAGGGCCTGGACACTAGCACTTTACCACTTGAGCACAACTCCATTTCTAGCTTTTTGGTGTAATTAATTAGAGATAAGAGTCTCATAGACTTTCCTGCTCCAGCTGGCTTCAAATCTTAATCCTCAGATCTCAGCCTCTTAAGTACCTAGGATCACAGGCATGAATCAATGACACCCAGCTCATACATATATATGTATATATACATATGTGTGTGTATATATATAGACATATATACACATACACTATATATATATATATAGAGAGAGAGAGAGAGAGAGAAAGAGAGCTTTTCTATCAGAAAACATCAGTCACATAAAGAAAAGAAAGATCTGGGGATGTAGCTCAGTAGTAGAGCACTTTTTTTTTGTCGGTCGTGGGGCTTGAACCCTGGGCCTGGGCGCTGTCCCTCAGCTCTTCAGCTCAAGGCGAGCGCTTTACCACTTGAGCTACAGCACCACTTCCGGTTTTCTGGTGGTTTACTGGAGATAGGAGTCTCATGGTCTCTCCTGCCCAGGCTGGCTTTGAACCGGGATCCTCAGATCTCAGCCTCCTGAGTAGCTAGGATTACAGGCATGAACCACCAGCGCCCGGCTAGTAGAGCACTTTCTTAGCATGCATGAGCCCCCTCAGTTCCATTTCCAGTGCCACAAAAAAGCAAACAAGAGAGAAAAATGATTTTTTGTTTCAATATTTCTGATTATAGGAACATACTCTTTGTACAAGTACCTTTTCACTGAAGTTTTGTTTAGAATATAGTCAAACTCCAAGCAAAAGTATCAAATGGGAGGGGCTCAGTATGGTGTACTCATGTAATGGGATGTCAAACAAATTTTACAAATGATATTTATGTAGGATTTATAATAAGCTTAGAAATGTTCAGGGTAGGGGCTGGGAAGGTGGCTCAATGGTAGAGGCTTGCCTTGCATGCCTGAAACCCTGAATTTGATTCCTCAGCACCACATAAGCAGAAAAAAACTGGAAGTGGTGCTGTGGCTCAAAATCCTAGCTACGCAGGAGGGAGGCTGAGATCTGAGGATCTTGGTTCAAAGCCAGCATGGGCAAAAAAGAACCGTGAGACTCTTATCTGCAAAAACTGGAAATGGCACTGTGGCTGAAGTGGTATAGCTCTAGCCTTTAGCATAAAAAGGCTCAGGCACAGCGCCCAGCCCGAGTTCAAGTCCCACAACTGACAAAAAAAAAAGAACATGCACCTGGCACCGAATGGACATAGGTGGCATTTCTGAAGAGGGCTCATTTATATAACAAATGAAATTGTGTGTATGTGTGTGTCTGCCAGTACAGACCTTGACCTCAGGGCTTCATAATGTCACTTAGCCTTTTCACTCAAGATTGGTGCTCTACTACTTGAGCCATCACTCCACTTCAGACATTTTGCTAGTTAATTGGAGGTGTGTTTTTCAGATGTCTTCCCTGCCTGGATTCACATCAGGATTTTCAGATCTCAACCTCCTAAGTTGTCAGGCACGAGCAACTTCTGTCTGGTTCAAATCAAGTCTTGTTTTGCTAGGAATGTGCATCTCCATGATCAAGTTTGAGTCATAGACCAAGCAGATCTGTGTTCACTGGCCCAGCTGAGGCTTTCATATGCCTTTCTGGTGAAGAGCCTCCTTCTCCCACCCTCTTTAATCCTGGCCATCAGAAAAGCCTACATAACACACTGCTCCCTTTTGCTCTTCTGCTCAAACCTGTCAATGGCTCCTCTGTGCCTGCTGGGAAAGAAGCAGCCCTTTAGCTGCCATTTAAAGCCCTTGGTGATTGGCTTCTGCAGACCTCTGGCTTCTTCCACGTATGCCTCCCTCAACATGTCCCAACCTGCTCCACCAGGCCAACAGCCACTGAGTCTTACTGAAGTTCTTCACCTTCTGTAAGCCTGTCCTGAGTACTCAGGCTGGGTTAGGGCCATCTGGGTTCCCACATTCCCCTCTGTTCACTTCCATCCCACTAGTCCTACTGGGACTGTCATTGTATCTGTATCCCTCAGTAAAGTAGGTGATCCTCACAAGTCCAATGCCCCTCTCCAACACAGGTGTTCTGCATAAATCAGCTCCTTCCACAGTCTTAACTCTGTAAGATAGGTATGATTGTGCCCTATTTATCTAATGGCAAAACCAACACTCACAGAGAAGGTGGCTGCCTTAGGTGGTTTACCTGGGAGGTGAGGCATGTTTCACTGCTGCATTTTTTCTCCTACATATTCTGTCCTTGCCACTCAAGGGAAAGGGACAGGATCAGTGACAGGGGTAGAGAAAGCTCAGGGAAGAGGACAGGAAGAAGACTGGCAAGCTTGGGCACACAAGCTCAGGACTGTGTAGATTGCTGGGCACAGGCTTGAAGGTTTTGCTTGCTTTAGGTAGCTGTGTGTGGAGATACACAATGTGGGAGGTAGATTGGCATTTCCAGGAGTCCAATGTGTAAGGTTCCATCTAAGGGTTCAATGTGGGAATGAAGTCTAGGAGTTTACCTGGAGGTTTAGGCTAGAGAGTTTGGGGAATTTGCTATAGGGGTTTAGTCTGAATGCTTGACTGAGGCCTATTGTGGGTTTGGCAGGTTGAGCTCCTGGTTTTGGAGTTCAGTCTTGGGCTTAATGTAGGCATCTGAGGTCAGCAGTTCCAGCTCACCTAGTTTGGGGAGTTGAGCTACAGTCCAGACTCCAAAGTCCAGCTTGGGAGCCAGAAAGTGGGTGAGTCAGTCTGAGGAATCAGAGCTATGATTCAGTGGGGCTCATCCTGGGGATTTTAGTTGGAGGGGTAAAATAGTGAGCTCACCTTAGGATCTCCTTCAGAGATTTAGTGAGAACCAGACAGGGAAATTCTTTCTGGGGGGTGGGGGTCGGGAGTGGGCTCATGAAGGAAGCTCAGTAGGCCAAGCTCAAGTTCTGAGGTTTGTTCTAGGGATTCAAATAGGGATAGGATTGGTATGAAACATTCTAAATTTGAAGAGCTAGCTGGGTGCCAGAGGCTCATACCTGTAATCCTACCTACTCAGGAGGCTGAGCTCTGAGGATTGTAGTTTGAAGGCAGCCTGGGTAGGGAAATCTGTGAGACTCTTATCTCCAATTAACTACCAAAAAAGCTGGAAGTGGAGTTGCAGCTCAAGTGATAGAGGCCAAACCTTGAGCAAAAAGAAGCTCAGGGTGGGGCTGGGAAGGTGGCTCAGTGGTAGAGCGTTTGCCTTGCATGCATGGGGCCCTGGATTAGATTCCTCAGCACCACATAAGCAAAAAGAAAAAAGCTGGAAGTGGTGCTGTGGCTCAGGTGGTAGAGCGCCAGCCTTGAGCTGAAGAGCTGAGGGACAGCGCCCAGGCCCAGAGTTCAGGCCCCACGACTGGACCCCTTCCCCCCCCCCCGAAAAAAAAGAAGCTCAGGGACGGTGCCCAGGACTTGAATTAAAGCCCCAAGATCAGCATACAAGACAAAGCAAAAGCAAACAAAAGAAAAAAATTGAAAAGGTCAATCTGCAGATTGATTTTAATGGGGAATTCAGTATGGATGACATCAACAAAGGCATTTAATAATCAAAACACGTGGCCTGATGCTGGTGGTTCACTCCTGTAATCCTAGCTACTCAGGAGGCTGAGATTTGAAGATAGCGGTTTGAAGCCAGCTCAGGCAGGAAAGTCTGTAAGACTCTTATCTCTAATAAACTACTAAGAAAAAG